TATGGTTTCTAGCAACCTTAAAATCTTTGTCATTTGTATTCATGAATTACATTCCTATACCATTAATACCACCTAGTGATAATTGCATCAGTATTTTACAATCATAGTATTTAATTTGTATATTCAGTAGGCTCTCACTACCTGAAATATATCAACACTACTTATAAGACTCATTCAAAGGATGTGTTATCAACCATGAAGTTCTATAATAATTCTTCAAATAATGTTCATGGTGTTGACAATACTTATTGTCCTAGAAATTCTCCACCCAGAAATCTTTCTAACATAGATTTGTTTTTGTTTACATAATTATAATTTTCACTAAAATTCCACCTTGTAGTAACAAACTTTTCATTCCATAGAAACATAGTTTACTTTAAAATAACTTGGAAAGAATAATTTAAATTAATTATCATCACTCTCTTCATTAGCATTGTGATGACTTATTAATGTAATACACCTTAAAAGCAGGCTTGTCCTAATGTTCTGACCAATCCATATTCCTTAGTACACTTCAACTGACTAAAATAAAATAAACAAAAATAAACTTGGGGTCATACTGCCCAGAAACTCTTATTCCTAGTCTGTGTCTAACAAACTCAGGGAAATCATAAAACAACTTAACAATGTATTCATTGGATACCATCATATCCAGAAACCTATTCTCCCTAGTCCATACCTTTATAGACTTAGGTCAAATATAATTGTGTACTATACTCTTTCCATTCAATTCAATTCCTCTTGGATCTCTGAACTCTTATATCCAAGGCATTCTTAATGTATATAATTACTTAATATAAATCAATATAAAGTATCCTTCCTTAGTTTTCTTCCTTTTGTTACCATTGTTTGTTTTACTTCACCTCGATTATAAACAAATTACTCATTATAGTTAATCTATGAAATACTATTGAACTCAATCTTTGTGATATTAAGTAACCATGATCCTTATTTTATCGACTTCATATTTTATCTACCTCTGATACTTCTCATTCTATGTATAGGTAATAATGTAATAGTTCTCTTCATAATACCATCCATTAATAATTTTACTCCATGTGTTATATTTATAAGTACTCTCTCTTGGTATTAATACTCATAACTGTTAAATAACTTTTCATTGTCTGTTTTCTTCATTAATATTTAGGAATATATATGTATGTTAGTGTCAATCTTTTATTTCTTTGTAAGTCTGTTAATCTTCTGTATCGAATGAACTCTGTAGAATCTTCCATCACAGTTTGCAGATTAGATGAAAAGTCTCTTTCCAACAGTCGATGTCCAGTTGTCTGAAGGAATACTTTCCTGATTTATTGCCACAAGGATCTGTCACGCTTTACCAGATCAGTTATTTCTGTCTATTTCGTTGCTTCATCCACACAGCTGCGCAGTTCTTTGCTTGGACGCTTGCCAATGTCTGCCACGTGCTTGCTTCTAGAATTCACGTTGTATCTTGTGCTTTTTGTCTCAGTTGTAGAAAATAGTCTTGTACAGTCTTTGATTTGAAAACTTTCTTTTTCTTACAAACACAGTCTAGATTCTTTTTTTCTCTTCAAGTTTGTTTTCCCAGTTCCAAAATAGCTTTGTAACTCGATTCTTCTCTCTCCCCCCTTGAAGTGGGAACAAAACTTGAATAGAAGACTGGCTGGCTAGCCAATGTAAAAAACTAGATGAATGGATGTTAATGTAGACTCTTTCTTAATTTCTTCTTGTCTTCAGTTGATTGATATATATACGTCTTTTGTATATATATTCTTGGGCCAAATGCTCGCTACAATAATATATGTCTATATTATTGAAAAGTAGTAATACGCAATCTGACTTACGGTTTCTTCAGGTTTATTCTTAGTTACGGATACATAAAACATAATATAGGATGTTACAGGATAATGGACATTCAACAGCAGATGGTAATTGCTGGACTTCTGATGGGAGAGTTACATCGTTGTACAGAGCCAAGCCAAGAGTGAGACCAAGACTGAGAGACCTCGTGTCCCTCTGTTACTATATAGAAGTGCTAATACTAACGTCAGCATATAACTCTAGCCATATAAGGACAAGACCCCCACACCCACATTCCAGAGCTCTCGGACAAAGAAAGCCTTGTGACTTATTGATACCATCTGTTACTTATGTCAATCCACACATCCATATATATAATCAATAGAAACATAGAATATGCAATATTCTACATCTCTCCTCCTCCGATCCTCCTCTTCTCCTCCCCGTTGGCTGTATGCGCACGCATGGCAAGAGCTGTGCACGCATTCAGCCGGTCACATAGGAAAGCATTCATAATGCTTTCCTATGGACGCTGGCGTGCTCTCACTGTGAAAATCACAGTGAGAAGCACGCAAGCGCCTCTAGCGGCTGTCAATGGGACAGCCACTAGAAGAAATAGGGGAAGGCTTAACCCATTCATAAACACAGCAGTTTCTCTGAAACTGCTATGTTTATGAAAAAATGTGTTAACCCTAGCTCGACCTGGCACCCAGACCACTTCATTAAGCTGAAGTGGTCTGGGTGCCTAGAGTGGTCCTTTAAGTGTGTGTGCATCTGCATGCACTGGCGTACATACCGCGGTCGCGGGGGTCGCAGCCCTGTAACCCCTGCGACCAGGTGCCCACCGCCATGTGTTGCGGCCCGGCCCGCGCGGGGGGAGGGGGGGGGCCCACGGATCAATTTTCGCACCGGGGCACCATGGGTCATGTGTACGCCACTGGAGAGAGTCAAGGAGACTGAGCACTGGGAGTGCAAAAGGAAAGCAGTAAAGGCTGGCTTGGAGCACTGGGAGTGCAGAAAGGAAAGCAGTCAACGCTGGCTTGGAGCACTGGGAGTGCAGAAAGGAAAGCAACAGGCTGACTAAGCACTGGAGTGCAGAGAGCTGAGAAAGACACTAGGTTGGTGAAACCAATATTGTTTTGTCCTAGTTTAACCCCTGAGAGATAGGGAACCTGAAGTTAGTAAGTGCTCAGACGAGCTAGGTTTTTGTTTATAGGGATTTGTGTTATTTTATGTTTTCATTTTCTGCTGTCTCCTGTGTGGACTTACAAATAAAGTGCCTGGATTATATGAAAATAAAAGGACTGTGCCTGTTTACCCTAGAGGACCCTGCTACCTGCAGACAAGGATCACACTATCCTAATTCCACTTACTGGAGTTCATTCTGGATATGCTTGTATCAGAACACAGTCCCCTTCTTGGGGTGGTCTGAATCTAGAGATTGCAGCCAGCTTTCATTACTTTGTCTAGGTGTCTGTAATTTATACTATTCTACATTCTTTAATCACTAGAAAGTATCATAATAACATGAATCTGTGAACAGAAAAAAAAATGCACTGAGAAATTAAATTGGAAAGGACAGTTAACAAAAAAGGGGGCTGAGGGGCAGATAAAATAAGAGCTTTATGAATGTGCTAACAGATGGAGAGGGGGAGGAGGTGAGAGAGAATGAGAGGATACTGACAGTAGGCAGATGGAGAGAGGGAGATGAACAGGTATTACTCTTAGAAAGGTCACAGATGAGTTAAACTCACAGGCATCGCACAAAACAGGTGCTGGCAGCAGTTTATTGTGAAAAACACAGTTTTGTGATTCACTTTCTGCCACATGGTCCAACAATCTAAGCTAAACAAAAGAATAATAGGATTGGCAGACAATGCAGCTTTAAAAATAATCATACATTCCGATAGTAAACGAGGAAATTAAGCAGGGGAGCAACATTTAGGGGCACGTGGAGGATGCTGAGTTTACTACACGTTCACCACTAGGCATAGAATTATTGGCACCAATTGGCATAGAATTATGGGCACCTGGCTCTCTGGTGTTGGTAGAGGAGGTGGGAAGCAGCAACCAGCAGACCCCAGATAAGAAACCAAACTGCTCAGAAACAGTCTGACTTTTAACAATGGGGGGCACCAGGATACTCCTGACATCATAATCGCTACAGTAGCCTGAACTGGTTATGAGGCGTGGACTGTTCATTTAAACTTATTGGTTGATGAAATACATTTATTTAAAAGGACACAATAGGCATCCAGACCTCTCTATCTCAGTGAAGTGGTCTGGATGCAATTTCTGATAACCTACAATACTTATATTGCAGAGTTAAGACTGCCTCTAGTGGCTGTCAATCAGAAAGCCACTAGAGACACTTCCTGCTTGCAAGACGACTTTTGGTCGCCAAACTGATGCTGGACATTCTCACGCTCTGCATCCAGCAACAGCTAAACTCCTATAGGAAAGCATTGCAGCAAGTTTTGCTATGAGGAGGACCTAATGCGGTCGCAGTGCTTGCCACAAATGTGAATTAGCGCCCCCTGTCAAGTGATGTTGGAGGGGGGGGAAGAGAGATGATTACAGTAATGGTTTTTTAACCTTTACAGGGCAGGGGTTGAGGGAGGCAGACAGAGGGCACTATAGTGCTAGGAATATAAAGTTGAAAAAAACATTACTGTACTCACCTGATTCCAGTGCCGATCTCCGGCCGCCTCATCCGTCACCAGAAAGGGGGTGCTAATGCGCATGCATGGCTATGGTATCACTTTAAGTCACAACACTTAGGTTTAACCTATAAATCTAGGCTCTTTAAGCATTTAATTGTACATCCTTATATTAAAAAGCATGCATGTTATGAATATAAGAAATAGTCTGAAGTAATTAATATATTGTCTTCATTTTATGCATAGTTTGGCACATAAAACTAACCAATGTAAATTCATGAACGACCTACAGTACGAATTGAGATTTTTCAAGCCAAATTTTGGCAGGTGAAACCCATTCAGGTAGTTGCAATTCCATTCTGGGTGCCATTGTTAGCTGTTAAAGGGATTTTATACAATGTTGTATTCCTTACACTATAGTTCCCACAGCCCTTTCCCCTCCCTCATAACCTCCCTCTGGCTTTAAAAAGTACTCACCCGATTCCAGAGCCAATCTCCCTTAGTGCTGGGTCGGTGCTATGCCTCCTCCGACATCAACCAATGGTAGGTGCTTGCTTGGTGAGTGCCACAAGCACATTAGGCCCTCCCCATAGGAGAGCATGTCCTCATGCAGAGCATGAATATGTATATATTTGCTAAATGGTCTATTCACAACAGCAGAACTGTACCGAATTTCCCTTCATTCATTTGATCCAATTCTCTGGCTACAGATAAGGAAATTAACACATATAACCCCAAACCGAAAACAAGCCCCCAAACCTTCTCTTGTCTTACCAGACCCTTTTTGTTTCTCTTATAATAAATAAATGAAGCTGCTGCTGCTCTGGGATTCATTTGAAGATAGATGGGATTCATTTGGATGAATGTGGTTTCAGTTTGGTTGAATTGAAGAGAATGAAATTGAATTAAAGTGAATAGACCCTATCACTTCTGTCTTAGATTTTGCAAATTGATTGTTAGAACGCAGTGGCTTCTTTTTTTCTTGCCAATCTTATCTTTATTACTTTTCAGTTCTATCCCACTAGTAGTTTATTAAATGGGGGTGAAGAAGGGTTCCACACCAGGTAAAAGCCAGGACTTATGGGCTATGTTACTGGCTTGTATTGTGGATGGATAAGACCGAGGTAGAAAATTAGTTTTTGCATGCTACTCTGGCTGATATTTCACTTGTGCTCTTAGTGACATGCGCTGAATGGAGGTAGGGAAGGGCAAATGGGGTCAGCAGAACCACACAAGGGGCTGAGTGGGTGCACACAAAATAAAACTCTAGTTTCAGGGAAGTGACAATAGTCAATTGTACCCCTGCTTCCGGATAACCCAAGTATGCCTATGACTCACAGA